GGATGGGCGTGAGGATGAGAACTTTTTGTTCGGGGCACATGTATTTGGGGGGAGGGGGGGCTCTCAAATTGAGGTAGTGTAGAGGGTGAAGTTTGTATGATGGGGGGTTTAATTTGAGGTCATGGTTTAGGGCCGGGGGTTATGGTCAACGGGCTGGTCTACGTGGTCGGGCATTGGACCCCGCGAGCGTGGATGAAGGGGGGAAAAAAATATGAACCGGGTGATGTGGGTTGGGGGTGAAGGTGTTAGGTTGGGGGTGAGAGAGTGAGGACTGGTTGTGGCGCTCGTTTGGTAGTAGGTGTAGTGGAGAGGAATACCAGGTAGGTAGGCTACCTACCTGGTGTGTAGTTTGCGTGGGGATGTTTCGGGATTTCGGGACGGGCTGATGGACAGATGTGGGCTTAGGTAGTTGCCTGTCAGTCTACATAGGTTCAGCTTATGGAGAGGCATATCTACCTAGTGGGAGCAACCCCTCCAAGCTCAGGCTGGGTGAGTACATTGTCTCAGATTTGTGGGTGGAGAGACATATTTTACTCATCTATCCGTCTTGTCCTCATCATAAGGGCCTGTGTGGGGTGTGCAAGAGTCAAAGATAACACCCATCTTAATCCTACTTACATAACAGTCTCTCTCCCCAGGTAAACCATGGAATTCACCTGGAACCAGGTAAATCCCGTAAGAGGGTTCCCTGCCCGTTCGTCTGGGGCGCGGGCCCGTGGGATGGCGTAGTTTCCTCCGCCGCACAGCTGCCGTCTAGTGACACTGCCGCGGGTGTGCATCGGGGGTTTTGCCGTATCTGAGGGCCAGGTTATACCTACCTACTCTAATTGTACCGGTAGTGGCAACCTACCTATCCCAGCTCGGCCAGTCCTCAAAGGCATCAACATGAAGAGCACACACACATTTAGGTAGTCTGGAAGTAAACCCCTGCCCTCTCCGTGTTCTCGTAAGCTTCCAAAGTTCTAACTTGTGCACCCCGATGCAGTACGTACCACTCTTGTGTCTCCTCCCCCCAGCCCCTGCAGTATCACCGTTGACTGTGTCTAGGGGTCTAGGTGGTTTTCCCCAGAGGCACCAGGTAATTAACGAACCTTTTCCGGGGGTGGAACACCCACCCGCCCGTTTAACCCAGCCGGCCTACGGGATTTTCCCCTCCTCAGCAAAGCGGCTGAGCCTTGACCAACTTTACCTTGCACAACAGTCTGCAGGCTGAGAGGCTGAGCTCGATTGGGTGGATTACGTACCGCATCTTTCTTGCGTTGGCTTTCACATGCTCGGTTTTTTGGAGGAACATAGATTAAATGCATGGGAAAATTGGAATGTCGTGGGACATAGATGCGGGTTGTCCGGTGGTGGGATGGATGTGCGGGTGACTTTTTGGAAGCTTACCTACTTGGGCGAGGCAGAATTTTGGCGATGAGGGTGGTGGTGGTGGTGATGGTGGCAGTGTTGGGAAGGGAGAAAGGGAAACCCTAACCCATAGAATTCGGAATGTTTCATGTTTCTTTGGGCTGAACAAGGGCTGAGAATGGATCGTGATGAAGATGGTGTCTTATTGAGAGTGTTGTTGCGAAACGAGCCGGGAGGGCTGAAGGAGTTTGACCTAGGGAGGGGGTGAGAATAGACGGGACGGGACTCGGAGGATGCGCAGTTGGGACCAGCTTCTAGAATCCAGAATTTGCGCTTTTCGATCTAGATAGAACAGGCTGGAGGTCCGGAGTGTCGGGTCATCGCTCCTAATCCATTCATTCTCTCACACCTTTAGGAAGAGCTCTCTCTGCAGATTCGTGCACCAACACCATCATCATCCCACTCGCTTTTTTCCGTCTTGAAAGCCAAACTGCGGCGTTGCATTCACCATTACCTCAAGCCTGAAAGAAAAAACAGTCAACAATCATCCGACTCCCCCGCTCCAGGTTTACCCCCTTTCCGGTTGGCCGCCCTAAGCGCGACGCAGCTGCGTTGAGATGGTACGTAGCCATTTTACTTGCGCCGTATTGGCACATCGGGGGCAAACCCATCATTCCCGGTTTGTTCATACAACAATAAAAAGACGGATGAATTTTTCGTATTGCAAGATACCTGGGGTATTGCTGCCTTGTTGAAGGGTTTTTTTTTGGCCGGGGGGGGGCGGTTTTCAGGCTACTGAAGAGAGATTGTTTGTCTTTGGGGGCCCCTTTCCAGGCCTCGGTAACCATCAAAAGGGGAGAAAAGGGGTAGCGACAATATGCGTATCCATGCATCTCAGTGACCTTTGAGACTTGTGAATCATTGTTCGCATCGGAAGTTTAGGGTCCAAGATGCCCCCTCTACCTTGGGTATTCTCAAGACTTCTTACTTGGCTCTGGAAGCCAGAAGAGCTATGCAAGTGTGACAATAGGAAAGTGAAGTAGTTTCGAGTTTCTGATATGGTGAAATATCTTGTCGACAATTTCCAAGTAGACCTCAGTTGAGGCTGACTGCATGGTACCTACCTAGATAGGTACTTCAACACTAACACACCACCTTCCATAAAGAGTCTTTATCCACAGTCTGCTTTGGAGTATTGTTTCTTCTGTTGGCTTCACGATTCACTCTGCATAATACCTATGACAAGGGTTCCAATGATCCTCTAGCGAAAGTTTCTGGCTTCGAAGAGTAAGATCAAGCTATACCTATACCTACCTCAACAACAACCAATAGTGAACCAACAGAGCTCAGTCAACAGAGCTCAGTCAACAGCCCTCCATCAACAGACCTCAGTCCACAACAGCCTTCAGTCCACAACAGCCTTCGGTTCCATACCAGCCCTCAGTCCAAACCCCAACCACACTCACCGCAACCCCAACCACAAACCAAGCAACAAAAAGAAATGACCAGACTGCAAAAAGCACAAAAGATAACCCACCACCAAATGGTGATTTACAAGCAGTGGACGGGCTGGGAATCGAACCCAGGACCTTTCGCATATATCTGTACCCCAGACTCCCAATTTTAATCGGAAACCGTGAAATATGCTAAGCGAACGCTCTACCAACTGAGCCACACGCCCTGTCTTGTTTATGCCCTCCTCCCTCATAGCCCTCCTTTTTAAAGGCCCCTCTCTCTGCTGGTATTTTAGTTAGTGTAGATGTGGAGAGAGAGAGAGAGAGAGAGTGGATAAAGTTAGGGCTTCCCCAAGCCACCATCTCCCTGCCACAAAACCCCTTCAATGTTGGGGAGACGACTTGGTCTCCGCCCACAGCTCCATATCATTTCAAATGAGGAGAGGAGAAACACCAATTCAAGAAAGGGCCGCTGGTCTAGTGGTATGATTCTCGCTTAGGGTTCACCCTACAGCATTGCTTGCGAGAGGTCCCGGGTTCAATCCCCGGGTGGCCCCAGTACAACGACCATCTTCTCTCAGAGAAGAAATCCATTTTTTTTTTTACTTTCCCCCTTTTTCCATCTGTTTACTTTTTGCCATGTGATTTGAACATCACAAAACAGGGCCCAAGGACAGCATCCGCGTTCACCCCCTTCATCTCAGATCCTCTTTACAAAACTCATTATCACGCTATGTATATAATTTTGCTCTTCCCCCCGCCCCCCTTCCAACCAACCCAACACACTCCGCTCATCACAGCGCAGGAGCAACACCAGGACTAACAACCCCCTCCCCTCCCTGCCCCCCAACCACCCCCCCTCCACCCCCCCTCGGCTTCGTAATCTCAAAAAACTCCGTCAGCCCCTTCACCACCACATCAACATTCATGTTAATCTGCGGCATTTTCTCATAACTCCCCTCCTTCATGATCGCCACCAGCGCCAGAAACCTGTCCACCTCCCTCAGCATGATCGGCCTCTGCGCGTCGGCAAGCACCATCCCGCTCTCGGCCCACTCGCACGCCACTTGATCCTCCAGCGGCTGCGCCCACGGCTCCCCCTCCAGCCTGTCCCTCCACTGCTGCGTCCTCGGCCAGCTCCCATAAACTTCGGTAAAGTCAATTATAACATCCACATAATCAGAGCAGATTTCGTAGCTGGCCATGTCCTCGGGGGTCGAGTCCGTCGCAATGTAGATCTTGGTGTTGACGTCGAAGAGATAGGCCTTTTCGAACCGGCACGTCCGGCAGAGGTTCGTCAGCATCGCCTCGAGCTGACCCAATCTAGGGATGAGCTTCTGGATGACCTTGCTAAAGGCCTCAAAGATGCTGTGGTTGTAGATGCTGGTAAGGTGGAAGTTGACAGGCGCGTTTTCGATCCCCTGGTCCGACAGCTCGTCCTGAATCCGTATCGTCACATCGCGCTGGATATCCAGCTTGTAGTCGTCACTAAGGCCGTCAACCTTGTGGATGAAGACCTCGATATTGATGTGAGGGTAGCTTCGTTGGACGTGGAGAATGGTGATGTTCAGCCGGGTCACGGCTTCGAGATAATCGTCTTGGGCGTCAATGACCCAAATGAGAGCCCCAATCTCGCCAAAAATGGCGTCCATGTCGAACGAATAGGCTGGGTTTTCAAAGATGTCGATCTGACCTGGAAAATCCCAAACCTGAAACTCCATGAAAGAACTTCAACGTGTCAGCGGGTGATCCGCACAGAACTTTGCTCTCTTCAGACGCTTACTTGAGACTGTCTTTTTGAATTCTGGCCGTCGACTCGAGAAACAATGTCTCGCTCGCTGGCAACTTGTGAAACACCACGCTCGAGATGGACGACTTCCCACTCCTGAAACAAACAGCACAGTCAGCCACAGTTCCACACTGTCCATCCAAATCCAAAGGTTCCATACCTCCTTTGTCCCATCAACAACAGGCGAGGCTTCCCCTTCGTCTGGGGCGTCGTCGGGTCAGGCACTTTTGGCCCATCCTTCTTTTGGATTCGTTGCCGGTTCTGTTCATAAACACGAGAAAGATTTAGCGCTGCTGGACTGATAAACCTGATCGGACGAGGGCGTAGAGGCTGCGAGTCCAGATCCTCTCCGTTGTCCCTCGAAGCACCGCCCCCATTGCCACCGGTAGAAGACATGACGGAACAAAACAAAGTAAAGCCAGGTGAGGTGTCTTGAGAGAAAAAGAGGGAGCCCCTGAAGTAGATAAAGCAAGTCTCCCCTCCGTCACCGCTCTTGCATGCCCCCCAAGAAGCAAGCAAGCAGTCACACGACACGAGTAGGCAAGAACCCAATCCTCGAATCCTCGATGTCGACAAGCCCTTTTTGTTTGCAAGCTGTGTAAACAGCCTGGCGGGATTGGCCAAGCCGGGAACTGCTTGCCTGCTTGCTTGCTTCTGAACCGGCCGAGAGGCGGGAAGCAGAGTCGACTCAGAGATAAGACAACGGAATTGTGCTTTGGATGAAGTGGTGGTAGGCAGGTCTGAGCTGGCTTTTTGCGGTTCGACGCATGCGCATTGTCTGTGAGTGAGAGAAACAAAGGCTCTCACAGCATCTGCTTGCTGCTGGTGGTGTCGTGGCGCTGGGCCTAACCGGCGAGACGAGCTCACCTCTGGTTGGCACCATATCCGCACATGGCCTCCATTTTTCTTTTTCGCCTCGTGGACTTTGCTGGTGTCTGTGTTTCTGTGTTCCTGTCTGACAGAGGAAGAAGAGAGGAAGAGGGAGGAAACCAAGTGGATGAGAGAAAGGGACCACCGCACTGACGGAAAGAGGCAAAGTTGCGGTCAGAAGAAGCCCATATAATACTCAACTAGGCAAGAGCGAGGCATGACAGCATAATAATCCTGAGCCAGAAGAAAAAAAATATCAACCGGGGTTGCACAAGCACTCTTCCCGATTCCAGCGAGTTGGACCCGGTGGCTCGGCCGCAAAGTCAAACCCAAGCGGTCACCCAGTGACGACAGGGGCAACATACAGACAGCAGATGAAAGAGTTTCGGGTAACTCACTCGCTGAAAAGACATTTCTGCAATGTTTGACACGCGGGATTTCTGCTGCCTATAACTTGCCTTTTGCCTGGTTGCATGCCTGCCTGCCCGTCTGCTCCCGCTTATCCGCCCATCCGTCACCGCTGCGAGACTGGTGTGACACTTGCCTGACGAAGATGACGAAGAGGCGTCACAGTTTGGTCGGAAGGCCGAGGATTTGGTGGTGAAGAAGCAAAAAGCCAGACCGGGCGGTGTCCGCGTCCAGGGGTCCAGGGGTAAATTGTTGGTTGCGGCGGTAAAAGAGGAATCAGAGGGGGAAAATCCACAAAGCTTTGGAAAATGCCCCCAACGGTGCTGGCGTTGCTTCTAGAACGAGACAGACCAACGAGACAGAAACAACAAGACCCCCGTGTGACTCGTCGGCGATGGGAAAGTGCTAGCTGCGCAACGAAGCAATCACCTCGAGGGAAAAGTCCTCGGAGAAAGAACAAAGCAAGACCCGGCACTTGCAGGGATCGTGACTTGTTGCAAGATTGCTGTGATGTGATGTAGGTGTGCTGTGGTGACCGAGGCTGTGACGAAGAACAAACGGTTGCCCTTACCTCCATGTTGAACTATCTGACGATAGACGCTCGACCTTGGGTTGAGAGCACCCCGCTTCCTCCAAGAGATCAATGCTGAACTTGAAGATCGACCATGAAAGGGCTCAGATAGCTCATGCTGTGGTGCCAGTCAGTGATAAGCTGCAGGTGAGCAAGGTCAGATCTGACGAATAAGATGAAAACTCACCGGTGTTGTTGTATTATTTGTTGGATATAGGGGAGGATGTATATTCCTGATCCCTGACTGGGTTGGCCTGATCAATCGTCGGTGAAGCTCAATCGATAATGCCTTGCTTTGCTGAATCGACCCCGCAGGTGAGGCACTCTCTCACAGTTCGCTATCGCAGCTCCAGAAGGTAGGTAAGGTAGTGTTACGGCGAGCTCAGGTCATCTGAAACCCCGCAGGCGGATCCTAGGCAGTGAGAGTGTTTGAGATGTGTCCAGGCTCTCTCACTACGTCATGAAACGTGTCGGGAGAAAAAAGAAAGGATATCGATAAGGCTGTGCTCTGCTCTGCTGTATGCAATTCGCTGTCTCATGAGCCAGGAGGTGTTCAGTGCAAGGCGCCAATGTTCCATCGAAGGGGAGAGACTAGGAGACCTTCAGGTGAGTGCCGCTCACCGAAGCGGGCCACTGCGGGGTGTTGCCAGCCAGCGCGATTACATAAACCCCGCTCCCCGAACTTTAGCGCCTGGGCCGGCCTGGAGAGATCTCGATATATCAACCGCCCGGAAGCTTGAATATTTCTTGGCACATGCATCATTAGTTACCGTAGGTCACCAGAAACGTCCTCGATTCGACTTCCCAAACCTACCTACTACTATACGAGAAAAGTGTCCTCTTCCAAAAAGTTCAATGCTATGCTATACCGTGTCCTCTGTGTGATGCTCTCCAAGAGTTCCCTCTAGGTATACCTGTGCATGCACCTAATCATCCTCACCCACTCCCGTCACCCTTCCCACTACTATCCCTCAGCCTGAATCACGTATCACCGGCAATGAGGAGCGATGCCCCGGCTTTTTGACACTACCTGACCGGCCGAAAATGGCAGCCACAAAGCTCTTCTTCTTACGTGCTGTCCTGGGCTGATCCTCCTCTCGTGGAAGCCCTTCCTTATCTCCGACGCCAGGTTGAGCTGCCCCCGGCGACGTCGAGGGTGAGCCTGGAATGGTTGGAAGCGCCTCGTCAGCGCTGGTGGGTGGTGTAAGTTCTCTGGCATGGAACCCTGCCGCTGATAATGATCGAAAGCTTGCCATAGGCTGTAGCACATGAAGGCATGTCAATGCACTGCTGGCAGGACAGACGGTCGAATGGGCAGTACTTACCCTGGCACTCAGCTTCCCCCTGGCCTTCAAGCCTCTGGATATGGCTCCCTGTGCCTCATCCAGTGTCACGTTGGCGCCTCCGAGACCTATTCCATTCATTGTCTTTTCCAGCTCCTCAATCTCCCCAGCCATCGTCTTGCCGTTGCATGCCAAATGCTCTTCCTTGGTAGGGACGAACCTCAGGAAGCCCCTCGCTGGTACTACTCCTATCGCTTCTTCCATGTGTTTCTGGATCAATGCCGCATTTCGCTTGTTGGTTGTCGGCAATAGTTGCGACGGCAGCGCATATATCGACATCACGTAGGCTGGGTCAAAGGTCCCTCCGAAAAGCATGCAGGCTCCGTGCTGCAAGGTGACGACGATGGAGGAGACAGGGCGCTGATACCGTGTGGATAGGTGATACGAGAGTTCGGTGATGAGAGTGAACTCGTCACTGATCTATGGCGCACGGTCAGCAAGACGGTACCCATGGCCTGGAAATATTTAGCAAAACCCACGATGACATTCGTCTTGACCTCGGCCATGACAATGGCATCCCCATGTACCCTTTCCCGGGCCGTGTTGCCCTCGGACACGGCAAAGGCGTCTTCAAAGAAGTTGACGGTGTTCTGCTGCTTGACGAGATCCGGCCTTGAGTGTCTTTTGCGCCCTGGACGAACCAGTATGTCTCCGGTTGCAGTTGCCGGAGACGATGTCGAAGGAGGTGTGTCCTGTGCTTTGCGCTCGGCAAACGACAATTCTCTTTGACCTCCCGGTGCCAACCTTCTAGGGGTCATGACGGGCGCCTTGTCGGCCGCAGCCTGTTGTGACAGCGATCGGCTCATAACGAGGACTGGCAGCTGGGTTCGGCCTCGATTCAAGCAAGTGATTTCGGTTTGCGCCGAGTATAAGAAGGTGCAATGCCTGTAACTTTAGCGGAAAATATAATGTCGCCTAAGATGAGGTAGGTCGCGCATCTCACGTCAAGGGGTCCGTTCACTCGGGTGAATGGTGAGACAACCGTCTCCCTGTTCTGTGGCACGACGGAAAACCGAAAAGCTGAAGCTGATCAAGAAGAAGTGAGTAGGATTCGCCTGGACGGCGTTGTGCTGTGGAATCAGGCAAGCCTAGCGGATAGGATGGTTAGACATCAGATTGGGTGGATGTAGACGCAGGACGAAGAGCCCAGCAAACGGAATAGGCCACTGACAGATTTGAAGTCGAGGCGTAGGTTCTGGGCTGAGATGATTGATGTGTTGTTCCAAAAGCAAGACATGCCAAAACTGGACAAGAAGGGCAGAGGCAGGAGCGATAGGAGCACTCAGGGTCGCCACTACCACCCCGATATCTTGCAATACATATGCGCAGCTTCCCCCCTTCCCAATCATCCCGGTACAGGAATCAAGATGATGGGAGGTTTTCTGAGGCGCCAATTTCCGGGTCACAGCATTGTCAACTCTGCCATCTCAACTTGAGGGTTACAAAATCTGTTATGCAAGTATTGACAGGGAAGGACAGAGCATTTCACCCCTACAACCAATTGGGAACCACAAGACATAAAGGCATCAAAAATTGGAATTCATGGTATTCGCCATCAACACACTGCCTCAAAATTCAGAACCATTCACACATGAAATGTGACCTCTGTCACTACTCTCATACCACACAACCCCCACCTATCGTCGGCTCAGCGGGAGGCGACGTCTGAAAAGATAAGGGCGCATGCGTGTTTGCTCTCGATAGCGCCAAACAGATAGATGAAATCTCCCGTCCTCCACCATTCTGGAACGCGGGTAATAAATGAAGGCTCATATGCATTCACAGCGAAATAGCACGTGGGTAGGATGACTGCCTTGCTTCCGAAACCTGGCTGAGGTTGTCGATAAGAGCTTTTGCAACTTTGGATCTCTTCACGATGGAGGATATAACGATGAAGATTCTCCAGCTACGACAACGCCTTGATAACAGTCAAGATTACCTATCAAGTGCACAATGTCCCTCGGGAACATTCCCCGACTTTCTGCAACAGCCCGCCGGCTGAAATGCAACCTGTTTCCAATCTTTCCTTGACCACAAACCTAGCAAACAGATCCCGAACAGCAACACAGCAGCAATTGCTTAACAGATGTTTCCCATTATCCAAGTAGCCATAACCCCCAAAAACTAATACCGTAGTCCCTAAACCAAGAAGAAAAGACAGAATTATGCACAATTTAGCCCACCACACCACCATGAACCCCTCAACTCCTCCTTGTTCGACATCATCTTCCACTTCCCTTAAGACAAAGCAGGACTCTTCCTAGCCCCCTGATACCCCTCCACATAACCGCCCACCCTCTTCTCCCAAACCCCCAATCCCAACCCCACCACCTCAACCGGAATCAGCAAAATAGCCAGATACAACCCCGCATAACTCTGCCCGCACAACGTCCCCCAATGCGGCTGCTGCCCCATGGGCACATCCCTCCACCTGCAAGTCCAAGAAGTAAACGTGTCCACCGTGTCCGACGAATTCGCCGCGTAGAAGAAGACAACCGAGATCAGCGCCGCGATCAACCCCACGACTGGTGCGGCGAGGGTGGTGGAGGTGTGGAGGGTTGTTTTATTCCTCAACTAAACATCATCTGTTAGTAGATGGTAGGGGGAGGGAGGGGGCGGGGGAACGAACAGTGGTGATCTTGGAGCAGGCCAGAGAGGCAATACTGGCGAGGATGACAAACACGCTGCCAACGACGAGGGAGATGGTAGGTCGGATGTTGAAATGCTCTGGCCAGAGGGGGAGGTAGTGAGGCGTCAGGACGTGGGTTTCCTCGTAGACGCGGAGGGTGTTGCCCGCCGTTCCCAGGACGGTGAGGCTCATGCCTAGGGCGAGGGCGGTGGCGCCTAATCGGAGGGTGTTGATTGTGCCGAGGGACTTCATTTTGGATTGGAGGTGGAGGTCGGGTTCGACGTGGGTTTGGAACGAGGGGGCCGCTGAGTGGGCGGAGGCTGTGGCTGTTTTCTCCATTGTGTGGTTGAAGGTGGTTTATATACTTGTTGTTGTTGTTGTTGATAGAGCACTGCTCTGGGTATCAAATTAGGAAAAAGGAGAAGCCGTGTAACTCGAGAAAGCGCTCCAAACAAAAGAGAACCCGAAGATGAACAAGGGAAGATGGTGTGTATGCCGTGGAATGGTGAGAGCACAAGTAGAACGCAACAAAAGTGAGGAGGTGGCGGGGCATACTAATACCATTTCCTCACTTACATCTTCGGCATTGGATCTGGGCGGTTAGCTCTTGCTTCCCTCCAAATTCACATCACAGCAGCACCCAAGATTCGATGCGCGACTGTTACCCTTCCACTACACCATGCGTCTAGTAGTTTGATGTCCCGTCTCCCAAGAAGTTCCCCTCCATCTTCTCCCACGCCAGAAATAGGACCCCCTTCCCCTCTCGGGATTGGCTCGTTTGACTCTCTGCATGCAGATTGCAGGTTTGAACAGCGGTAAAAAAACAGCAGGGACGATCATCTCCAGATGGGAATCGGCACAGGGGATCCAATCTGGGGAAAGCGTCCCCGAGGGCGAAGCGCCCTCCCGCGCGGCACATTTTGCTTCCCTTGCTTGCCATTGTATTTGGCGATATGATTGGTCTGGTGTTTTGTGCTTAAGCGCCCGGGAGGAAAAGATGGAGGGTTGGTCGGAAAACAGGTCGCTTGTGCTGTCGGGAGCAGTCAATTTCTTGATATGCCGACTTGAACTGGTCGTGAACATGGTTGATGCTTTTACCGTGTCATTTCACAGCAAAATGATGTCGATGTTGAAGTTGATGATGAAAGAAAGTGTCAAAGTGGTGGGTGTTGACAGTGATAGCCAGCCTGTCATTAAAGGGTTAGGGTTATACATCACCCCTCCAATCTTACCCCCTCCCCCCCACCCACCACCGCCAAAGATATCTCTTGGCATCCTCACCACCATAAAGCCATCTCACCACCATAAACACAACCTCAACACCATAAACCCATCCCACCATAACCCCAACCTCATCCAACCCTCAACATGACCCCCTTCCCCGTCCTCGTCCACTCCTACCCCACCACCCCAACCAAAACCCTCCCCCTCTACGAACACCCCTCCCCCTCCCCCTCCCCCCCAAACGCCCTCATCTTCCTCGGCGGCCTAGGCGACGGGCCCCACACAGTCCCCTACCCCCTCACCCTCTCCCACTCCCTCCCCCCAACCCTAGGCTTCTCCCTCTTCCAAGCCCGTCTCACCTCCTCCTTCTCCGCCTTCGGGTACTCCTCCCTCTCTCAAGACTGCGCCGAAATCTCGTCTTTAGTCCGCTACCTCCGCTCTGAGCTCAAGAAACAGACGATCGTGCTGATGGGCCATTCCACCGGTTGCCAGGATTGCATGTTCTACTGCACCAAACTGGGAGAACTAAAGCCGGAGGAGAAGGTTGATGGGATTGTCCTCCAAGGCCCCGTGAGCGACAGGGAGGCGTTGGTGATGAGCTGTTGCCCGGCACAGTTGGAGAACAGTATCGCGGTCGCGAAAAAGATGGCAGAGGAGGGGAAAGGGGAGCATGTAATCGATCTAAACGACATGCCTGACGGTTGGAAGGGGAGTCCAGTTACTGCTTATCGGTGGTTATCCCTCGCTACGAAAGGGTATGGTTCTTCTGATGATGTTGTGGGTAGGTGACAAGAAGGAGTGGCTGACTTGACAAAAACAGGGGAGACGACGACTTTTTCAGCTCCGACTTCTCCGACGAGGAGCTCAAGACCATCTGGGGAGAGCTGGAAACACCGGTGTTGATCCTGCCCTCAGAAAAGGACGAGTGGGTGCCATTCAAGCCGGCACAAGTCCAAAGCACGGTTCAAAAATGGGCGAGCTTTTGCAAACCGGGGGTTGTGAGTGAGTTCAGCGGGTTGATCCCGGGGGCGAATCACCGGGTTGATAACACGGAGGAAAACCCAGAGGGGGAAAAGTGGTTGGTGGAGAGGGTTGGGAAGTTTTTGGGGTCGTTGTAAGAAGAAAGCACAAACTCAATCAATTAGCTGCGCGCTCAAGTAAACAGTCCGTCTCCTCCCTTGGCTGCTCCTTTCCCTCGTAGAACCCGCCTTCCACAAGATCCCGCTCGAGCTCTTCCCAGTGCTTCTTCTTCTTGGCGGCGTTCTTTTTGTCGAGGTCGGCTAGTTTGGCTTCTATCCTCGTCGGTTGCCCTGTTCCATCTTGGGGGGTGGATATCCTGAGAAACAAGCTGCAGTCCCGGAGCGTCATTGCCAGCTCCAGGTTAACACCCTGGCTCGGATCATGTTTCGCCTGGGCTTGCTGCAGGAGTGGCAGGAGACTATTGGTCCTCAACCAGTCGGCGAGGTGATTGCGATGAGACGGCGAGGCTGACGCAGGGACGATGTGCTTCAAGACGTTTTCCAAACTCCCCCGGTTACTCTGACAGGCGATGAAGTCCAGGGGACAGAGGATGCCCAGGCGGTGAGCCTTGTGGTGGGAGGGATCAAGGTGATCACGGTAGGCTTCCCGGGCACAGTTGCGGCAGCGTGTGCGCTGCGATGGTGAAGGCGAAAGCCACTTTGGTTTGAACTCGACAAAATAATCACTTGGGTTTTCTGTGAGCCTTGTTAGACATCGGAAAGCACTAGGTTCGAAGACAAGGTGTTGACTAACGAGAACGCATATCCTCTATCAGCATGCCGTACTGGGCATCCGGGAGTACTCGGGTGCCACGGAAGTCCTTGCGGCGACCGGATTCCGCTTTGGCAAGAAGCTCATCAAGAATAGTGATTACTTTGGATGGGCTTTGGCCCAGTTTGACCAGTTGATGTTGGACCAGATTTTCGGGTGGGAATAGGGGCGTGATGGTTGAATCCCAATACTGCAGTAACTCTGGGTACGGAAATGTCTTGGCGCCAGCTTTTGGGACGCGCAGGAGGTGTCCTGTGAAAAGGTCAGATATGATGATGCTGTGGCACAGAAAAAGGAGGATGCTTTGGCAGTACCCTGGAAGATATCGCTGTGCCTGTTCGCGTGGCTTCCTGTCGTGCTTGGTGGACTTGGTGGTAATCTCACTTCAAAGACCAGGTTCGCGGCCCCCTCGTTCACGAACTTGATGGTCCATTTTTCAGGGTAAAAATCCGAAATGTCCGGGATATGGTCAGACGAAAAGCTTGCGCTTTGAGACATTGTGAAGGGTATGAAAATTTCAAGTCGGACATGCGAATGATGGAAATTCCTTGGTCGTCTGTCTGGTTGGGCACAAGTAGTAGTGTCTTGTCTCAACGGCCCCCCGAGCTTCACCGGATTGGCCGTTAGGTGATGAGCTGACGCTGAGATGGTGCCGCTATCCGCCGCATTGGAACTGCTGGATCAATTATCTCGTGCGCGGGACAGCTGAGATGCTTTGTGCGACTATTCATGGTGTACTGCTGGTAATCTTGATTAAGGTAGGGGTAGCCTGACGGCGGCAGAGTCCGATCAAAAGCGATGGCTAGATTTTAGGACCAATCCAGGTTTTGGGTGGTTGTTTTGTTTCACAACAATGGTTTATCAATTCTTCTTCTTCCAAACATCGTCAGTCTGCAAACACCAAATGCCCCTGTCGTTGACGTCTTTCTCCGGGTTCAACTCCCGAACCTAGCTTTCTCTTCTCGGGACCCCCGGCGGAGCACATGCCCCTGCCCGGGCAAACGTCAAGATGGCGGGCCCGAGCTCTCACAGCTTCCGCCTGGTCCCAAGCAGTGGCAGTGGATCACTGGACCTCGGTCGGGCGGAGACGGGAGCTCAGGTGTCTTTGTCAGTCGGGTTCCCCACAACATCATCGGATGACGGCTGGTCCAGTTTCGAGTGTCTGGATTGGGTATATTGTCACATTGTGTTGCATTTGGGATGATGAGTTGATGCGCGGTTGCCCAATTTCCCCAGACGCGACTGGCTGTTACCACACCCTGTTCCGACATCTGCTACCGTGATAGCCGTAAAGCCCGGATTATTTTGTACGACAGGTAAGCTCCGGATCCGTTGGATAGCTCGGCCAGTGTGTGTTTGCACCGGTGGCTGGGCGGGCTGTACGGCGTTGAATGCAAACCTGAGACCTCCAGGTTGCAAACTGATGATGAGAAAATGAATCAATCCTAAAGGGAGGGAGGGTTTGGGCAGCCAGGCCATCAGCAACAGAGCCCTGGAGGTGCAGATGCTGCTGCAGATGTTCCAGACGGTACAGAAAAGTCATCAGCCCACTGGTCAGTGAAGCTAGGGAAAAATGGCAACCCCCCGCAAAGGGTCAAGCATGGGCCAAGTCGCGGCGCAGGGAAAGCGCGAAAAATTTCCAAAAGGTCCCGTTTCTGCCGCACACAAAGACCAACCGTTCCCCGTCAGATAGCGTCATCCCTCCGCACAACCTCTCCAAAGCCGCAACTGCTCTCTCTCTTTTTTTTCCCTTTTTCCCACGGGCACCCGACAAAAGTCCACGAAGGTCCTTGCACCCAATCCCCATCCCCAATCTATCAGCTGCCCACCATCAAAACTTATTATTTGCCTTCCGTCGTCAAACTTCATTCGCTACCTTGGGTAAAATTGCTCCCGACGACAACCCACGTCCACGACCCCTCGGTTTTTGCCTCGCGCACCTCGATCCGACCGAAGCAAGCCTCCCTGCCCTGGCTCCGGGTCGACCTGCCCCGCACACCCTTCATAGCTCTTGCGATGCCTCTATAAACTGGGTGCCAATTCAACATGGCCTTCAACTTCAACTGGTCGCCGCTCACGGCCGATGCCGGCTTTTATGAGCGAGCACGCGACCTGCTCACAACCGCCCTGAACAAGTCTCCGAAGCCTCCCATTATCGTCGATGACATCTTCGTGACCGAATTCAACCTTGGCTCCGTGCCACCAGACCTGGAGATTTTGGAGATTGGTGACCTGGCCGAAGACCGATTCAGGGGAATTTTCAAAATGTGCTATTCCGGCGACGCCTTTCTGACGCTAAAAACGAGGGTGCAAGTATGTGCAATTTCTGTTATCTACGACGGACATATCGGACGAGTCCACCCCGGACGGGAGTCACAAGCCACCGGCATTGCAAGTGCTTTGCTAGCTACGGATAGTATGGAGGGGGCAAGTGAGGGAGCCGGGCATTTCACAAAGCCGAGAAAGGGGGGGCGGGGAGGGAGAGAGTGGGCATCTGGAGCATCTGGAGCGTCTGGAGCATCTGGACTGGAGCCAGGGCAAGTGCCCCTCGACGCCCGAGACCCGAATTTGGGACCCGAAACCTAGGGACTGCTCCACACCAGGTTTTAGGAATTCTAGAGCTCGCGATGGGACGCTGTTTCGGTTGTTTCGCTGGCGGTGCGGTGAAAGCTGCAGGCTTGGCGCATTAGACCAGAAATTGTGCCCAAATTCGAGAGCAGGGATTCGCCCATTCTCCTCACCGCTACCCCACATAGATTGGACTTCATGGAACACATGGAACACTGGAAGCATAACAGAAGACTAATATAGCAGCGCAGGCAAACCCCCTCAATACCTACCTGTCGGGCAAGCCAGGTTTCGCATCGCCGGAGCCCCTGTCGGCGTCGTCCAGCCTCACCATCCCGCTTCAGATCACCCTGTCTGAGATCAAGCTCTCAGCCTTCATCATTGTGGTTTTCTCAAAGCAGAAGGGGCTGACGCTGGTCTTTCGAAATGACCCCCTCGAGTCTCTCAAGGTCTCGTCGACCTTTGACTCGATTCCCTTTGTCCGTGACTACCTTCAACGGACTATCGAGCAGAAGCTGCGGGATCTGATGATGGATGAGTTGCCAGCCATCATCCACAGGCTCTCACTTCAGATCTGGTGCCCGGACCAAATCATTAAGGAGGACGAGGAGCAGTCCAAGGAGACCGTAGATCACACTGTTAACCCGCTGTCGACACCTCCCCTGGATGCTGTTGACGCAGAGGGTCACCTTCTGGACCCTGCCGCCATCTCGGAATTGTCTCTGGAGGCGGGAACAGAAACACAGTCTCTGTTCTCACAAAAGGCCTTGTTCAAGCTCTCTTCGTTGACGTCCACGCAAGAAACGTCATCATTGTTCACCCCTTCGATCAAGGAAGCCATGTTCAGAGCCTGGGCGGGGCCATCAGATCGGGTTGACACAGCCAGCACACCCGGACCGGCAACCCCGAGCCTCCACCGGACCACTTCTTACACCAACGGGACCGCCCATACCTACACCTTTTCGGACACGGCGAGCCAGGATCAGGGCCATTTGCCCTCGAGACCGTCCATGGTTAGTCTCAATTCTGCCACGGCTGGCTTGTCTCTGGGCTCCGGACGGCATTCCAAGGCTGGCCGCAAAAAGAAGACTCGTGTGGTCAACTTGCGTGCCAAGACCTCGAGCGAAGGTGGCAGCGAGGCGGGCGAGTCCTCGGAGACAGCTTCCACCTCGACAACGCCCGCTTCGGAGCCCATCATGTCTCACCCCATTCTCGAGGTTCCCGAGGAGGACACGGCTACAAACAGCAACAAGGTGCGGTTCGGTGGTGCTCATCCGCGCAGACCATCATTCCGTAATGATCGTGAGCCTGCCAAGGTCTCGGAGGCTGCCGTCCCCTCGATCGAGATTAGCGCGCCCAACACCACCCAGAAGCAGCCTTCTCGTCAGGCGTCGCCTGTTGATATGAAGGTCCCAGCAGACTGGTCTCGGCCAAGAGCGCCATCGGAAATCTCCCCATCCGTCATTCTCGAACAAGCGTGGGTGATGAAGATGGCCGGAGAGATTGCCCGCCGTGTATACGACGAAAAGAACCGCAATCCTCAGTTCTGGGAGGAAAGGGATGACACGCCCCCTCCTGCGTACCAGCCTAGGCCGTAATGGCGCGACTACCCGCAGCAACAACCCCTCTTATCACTTTTGTTTTTCGAGTACCAAAGATTCCCCTTTGTTGTTCTTTTCTTCTTGAACATATTCGACTCTTTTTTTTCTCTCTCATATGGCGTTGTTGTTTGTCTTTTGAAAGTATAGCGACATGGCAGCCCGCGACATTGTACTTGTCTTAATGGATTGCGCTACATTATCTTGGCTTTTTGGGTTGCCGTTTTTCTTTTTTCATGGCGTTGAAGGGATATCAAAAAAAAAAAAAAAAGACACTTGGTTTTACCGGATGAGGGAATATTACTACTGTTGGTTGGTTGGGTTTCTTGGTTCCGGCTGATACATCATTTTTGGGGGGCGGGGGTGGTATGGCTTAGATGGGTTGGGTAGTTTTTCCTGGGTTGAATGGGGTCTACATGATAAAAGTTTTTGTGTGGACTATTTGATATTAGGATGGGAAAAGCATTTGTTTGAGTTTGAGAGAGAGAAGGAGCGGGTGAAAGTGAGAGATCCTTTCCTGTGGTTGTTCCTGGTTTTGTTTCGTTTTCTTTTTGTCCGGACGCATAAACACAACCAACCAACGACGCTTTTGATAAAGTCTATATTCCCTCTTTTTTTCCTTTTCTTTTTCTTTCGTGATGTCTTTTTTGGGGTGGGGTGTGTGGGTGTGTGGGTGTGTGGTTTTCCTATGTTGGCTGGCTTGAAGTGGTGGAGGGGGGGATATCAAATCTCGTCGCGGTGTGTGTGAGACGCCCAGGGCGATGTGTATACCAAAGTGCGTGTGGAAATGCGGTAAACAGTAGTCCCCATGCTGGTATTTGAAATCTAGCTGGAACTATGGATTTTGTTGTGGGGACTTTGGATACCTTAACCTTGACAACTCTCGACTCTTCTTTGATAATAAGAAATATTACAAGATCACATGTGGTGTGTGTGGATTTGGTTTTTTTGGGATGCAAAACTTTGTTCTGATGTTGTGGATGGTGTCAAAGCCCAAGGTGGCAAACAGCATCAAAGCCACCAGGCGAGACAACATTCAAGGAGCCAGCCAAAATGACATGCCGATTAGGAATGATTTTAGCGTGGGAGAAGTAGATATTGACAATGCAGTGAGCAAAAATGAGATGAGAACGGCAGCGTAGGTAGGTGTGTGTGTCGTCTTGCTCTCAAGACATTGCATTTCCAGTGCCTCATCCTCGTGGCACTGTCATTCACTACCTCTGGTAGATTACACACAAAACCTTGATATATAACCAAAGCCAAAACTCCCCCAACGCCCCTTTTCTTTGCCCCATGAGCGGGTATCAAATTTTGCAATATTCTTACAAGACGCCATTTGCCAACCAGAACCCAATACCTCAGACCACATAAATCTCACGCCTTTGCCCCCTCTGCCTTTAGCTCCTTCAACCTCTTCTCCTTCTTCTCCATCTCCTCCTTTGTCCTCCTCGTCATCTCCTCCACCTTGACCAGCGCCTTTTTCAGCTTCTCAATCTCGCACTGCTCCGTCTCCCTACTAAAAGGGTATTCCGGCCCCCTATTCGTGAGAGGAATCATCGCACTCCTGGCCAACACCCCCCCCTCCGACCTTTCCATCTTGACCTCCTTCTCCCCCTTTTGCTTCCCCCCCCCCTTCCCCCCCTTCATAGAAGAAGCCGGCATAGCCCCAGACGTCAAAATCTCATAGAAGCTCTCATAAGGCTCGTTGAAAATCTGCTCGTCGTAATTCCAACTCTTGACCACACCCCCATCAGGCCCGTTTTTCATCTCCTCCTTTTCCTCCTCTGTCCTGCCGTAGGGATGGAGACGGAGGTGGTGGTATAGAGTCTGGGGTTTTTCGTTTGATTCCGAAACGTAATACAGCCTTATTGTGATTTCGAACTCGCCCCAGCCCGTCTCTTTGAGGGAGAAGGGTTTTCCCGGGACGGCGTCGACGATGCGGACGTGGTTGGGGATCGATTCATGGAGTTTGAACTGCACGCGCCGGAGCCAGTAGGTGATGTCGGTGTCGTCTACGCCCTTGACGAAGACTTCCCAGGAGTGGGTGTGGTCGTCGGGGATCCCGGGGGGTTTGGGGTTGCGGAGGGGGTCGAAGGGGCGGGCGGTGGTGCCGTAGATGAAGGGGCGGTGGATGGAGAGGGATTTGATGCGTTTGTTGGATTTTTTGTCGGCCATCTTTATTTCATGCGCGAAGGCGCGGGGAGATGGGGGGTTGTTGTCGGGTTGGGTTGGGGAGGGTGGATGTCGCGTCGCAACTGTGTTGGAAATGTTCAAAAGTGTTCAGAGAGGTTCTCGCGCGCGGCAGGCAGTTTGCGGGTCAAGCCTTGATTGCGGGGGCAGATCTCCCCGAGTTGGTCTGTGTCATCCCTGCTGGGGAGCCGCTAAACTTTGACAAAAATTCCCGGGCGGCGGCCGGCAAGTCCCTTGTCGCATGATCTCATCATAAGCTTGGGAGCTTGTGAATCGGACGGCGAGCTTTGCTGATCTGGTGAGCCTTGGGTTCTTCGGTTGAGCGAAACGTCAATTGATAGCTCTCATACATACACCCTGAATTTCTCTTGTGCTTTCTCTAAATCAACCCATCTCGTTCACCCATCCACCCAATTTGCACCCCCTCTCCATTCTCACATCCCACCATGTCAACCGCAACCAAACGCCTCATCGTCTTCGGCGGCAACGGCTTCCTCGGCTCCCGCATCTGCCGCTCCGCCGTCGCCCGCAACTGGGAAGTCATCTCCATCAGGTATCTCCCCCCCTTCCCTTTTCCCTTCCCTTCCCTTCCCTTCTCCCCCGTATTATCTATCTAACCCTCTCTCCCATAGCCGCTCCGGCCAACCCCACTGGCCCTCCTCCTCCCCACCCCCCTCCTGGTCCAGCTCAGTAACCTGGCAGAAAGGCGACATCTTCAACCCCCAATCCTACCTCCCCTTCCTCCCCTCAGCCACCCACATAGTCCACACCCTCGGCATCCTCCTCGAAGCAGACTACAAATCCCTCCTCTCCGGCCGCCCCTCCCCCGCCAACCCCCTAGACCGCAAACCCGGCGACCCAACTCCCCTCAACACACGCAGACAGGTAACTTACGAAACCATGAACCGCGACAGCGCCATCCTCCTCGCAAAAGAGGCCGAAAAGGCAGGTGTGGAAGGCTTCGGGTACATCTCCGCCGCTGCTGGAGCGCCAGTCCTACCCTCGAGATATATCACCACCAAGCGGGAAGCAGAGGACATTATCCAACGCGAGTTTCCCAAACTGAGATCGGTCTTCTACCGCGCGCCGTTCATGTGGGATAGTTCTAGGCCTGTGAGCCTGCCTATTGCTGCCGGGGGCCTGGTCGCGAGCACGGTGGATGGGCTCACGGGGGGGTTGCTCAGGGGGGTGCTGGGGGCGGCCGCAATCAAACCTCTCAAGGTGGACTTGGTGGCTGATGCGGTGGTGGAGGGGCTGGGTGACCAGAGTGTGAGGGGGGTTGTTGAACCAAAAGAGATTGAGGAGTTGGGGACCAAGGGGTGGAGAAAGACGATGCTTTAGAGACATACCAGAAAGGCGGGCTGTGTGAAGTCAAGTAGCAGTAACTGTATTTTGATCGTTTTGCCACGAGCAGGCGAACACTGGCTGCATGACCAGTTGTTGTAAGATGAATAGAATACCCCACGTCATGGTTGAACTCCGTATCGCTCGTCCAATGCTTTTTTTCTTTGATGTTACAACTCCAAAACAATCCAAACTAAACCATAGTTCCCCTCTCAAAACTATCCCGAATCTCGGCCGTGTACTTGTTGTAGAACCGCGCCAGCTTCTGGTTAAACTGCTTGTTCTTCTCGTTAATATACGTCACGTCCCCATTATCCTCCCCATTCCTAGCCTGCCTCTCCCTCCTCTTCTTGAGCGACGCCTCCTCGGCCTTTCTCAGATCCTCCACCAGCCTATCCACCGCCGCCTTGTCAGGTTTATGTCGCGCAAAATCCGTCGAATCCGCCGTGCTAAAAAACGTGCCATCCTTGTCAACAGCAATCATCTCCCCGTCCTCCGTCTCGACAATCTCGAGCGTCCCCTCGGCGGCCGCCTTTTCAATCGCCGCCATCTTGTCGCGGGTGTATTTCTCGACATCGGGCGCGCCCATGCTCTTGAGCTGACGCTTGTAGGACTTTTCCGACTGGCGCTGGTAGTCGCGGAAGGCGGTGTCGTCCCTGTGGGCGTCCTTCTTCTTGACGCGCTTGTCCCAGCGTTCGGACTCTTCGATCGTCCAGTCCCACGCGCGCTTTCGTTCAAAGTCGCCGCCCGAGTCTTCGATTTCGGCTTTGAGGAGCTTGTGGGAGGCTACGGCGTGCTTGCGGGTTATGGCGGTTAGTTGGGAGGGGTCGGAGGCGAGGCGTTGGGATTCTTTGGTGGCTTCTTTGAGGTTTTGGGTGGAGGAGGATTTGGCGCGGGCTTGGAGGGCTTTGAAGCGGGCGAGGCGGGATTGTTGGGTTGAGGTTTGTGACGGGGGTTCTGCTGATGGGGTGGGATTTGATGGTTCTGTTGTTGTTGGTGTGGCTTGTCGCTTGGAGGAGGGTTCGGGTGAGGTTTCTTCCTCGCGGTCGGAGGCGGGGGATTTTCTTTTGGTGGTGGGGGGCATTTTGATGGTTGGGGGGGGGGGGGGGTTATGTGGTTGCTTGTTGTTGTTGTTGTTGTTGTTGTTTGGTGATGATGGATGACGGTCGCAAGTCGCAAGTTGGAATCATGGATGAATGGTGGACTTTGTGGACCAGACGGTTGTTGCGAAAAGAACCTTGTTGGCTTTTGTGGGACCAAAGTCCTGTCGTAACCCTAACCCTTGATGCTTTTGCTTCACCCAAGTCGGGTTCGAAGCTTACAGCGAGCAAAAGGCCCAAAGTTACAGCGGCACAACCGCTGTAGAAGCCGCTGTTGAAGCCGCTGTTGAGACACCATTATGGAACCACATTCAAACACTCTGAGAGACATGAGAAATATGAATTAGCAGTGTACATCTAATTTTCCATTGAAAATCATTCAGCATATCGGCATCGCAGCTGTGACTTGGGATACCTTGGGCTGTTCAACTTTGAGCCATTAGGCAGCTGGGCAAGAGCGAGCTTCAAGTTCAGCATCCATCACTTGCCATCCTCTCGAAAGCAACCACCGAAGCCCAACTCATCTCTAATGAGCGGTGCTCCAGGCTGAACACCATGTCGACAACCGCAGTCTCTACTCCAAGGACCGAGTTCTTCCAAAAGGTAGGTTGTGCTCACATCAATGCCAGACACTTTGACTGACATTGCAACAGTTGAAGCGGGTCTGTGTGCCTCTCAACCAGTTGGCCGTCCGCTCCCAGGACAAGACAGCCGATGCCAAAGAGATTCTGCAACATGTCGAATCACTCACTGAACTCTGGTCAACCCAGGCCAGCCAAGATGACAGCATCCTAGACGACAGGCTCGCCGACTATGTCTTTGTCCCTTTGTCGCAAGTCCTCCGTGACAGGGACCAATACCCCATGCGGGTGGTCGAGGGCGTCATCCGTCTACTTAGAGAACTCATACAGCATGGGTGGAAGGTCAAAACATCGGCAGCCCTTTTTCGGCAGCTTTTGATTCTTCTTTCGTTCACCATTGGTGGTGTGCCCGGTCAAGAAAGGAAGAAGGACGTCCCGGAAGAAACGATTATTGAAGGGTTCAAAACGCTGGGAGCCTTGATCACTTCAGTCGACCCTGCTCGGCTTAAAAGATCGGAGATTCCTGGAGAAGACTCCATCCCGGCACTTGGTCACAGTGTCACTGTGATGATTGATGCCGTCACCGAGGATCTTCCTTCTTTGATTCAACTTGAGGCGGTGGCTTGCTTGCGGGCTGTCTTCATCAGCACCGAAGACAACTCTGTTCTTGCTCAGTTTCTGCCTGGCACGGTGTCTGGTCTCGGTAAACGGTTGTCTCCGCCGCTTGAAAGGCAAACTCAAAAGCGAGTTCTTGTGGCTTGTTTGGAAGCCCTCCAGCTTGTGTTTGTCAATGTGTTGGGTGACCTCAAGGTCAGGGGTCTGCTCCGGCAGCAGGAGACAGCCACACCGGCCGCGGAGGAGACAAAATCCGAAGGCAACTCAGAGTCCAGGGATATCGAACTAACACCGTCATGGCTGAAAGCAACTGCTGCTCAAGTGAAGATTGCTTTATCTGCGGTTCTCAAGTTGCGAAGTAATGAGTCTGAAGAGGTCCAGCGTGCTCTTTACAGACTATGTATCGCTCTGCTGGATGAGTGTCACGCTTCACTCGCTGACAGTCAATCAATATTGGTCGAGACAGCACTGATGTTACAGGAGGATGACGCAGCTCAATCAAGACTCGAGACCAGCCTCCAGGACCTCGTCAGCATCTACCCGGAGCTGAGCAACGGCATCAAATCTGCCCTGTACAGCTGGGTCGCTGGCCTTCCAAGAATGATGCAATCCAGCAACGAAAAGACCAAGCAATTGGCTATCAGAAGTATTCTCCGGGGAAGCAAGCTAGCAGCTGCCATGCAGATGGACTCGTCAACTCTGGACGATTCTCTGGCTGATTCACTAAGAGACAGCATCATCACTCTGATGAAGGCTTCGAAACCTCCAAAGGTGATTGATGACCTAGGCGCCGTCGATCTATCTCAGCCCACAGCCCTCATCAGATCAGGAAATACCGAGTTGGCAACATACAGCCCTGTCATTCTTGGCTCGGAAGGCCAAAAGGCTACCCGAAACGAGCTCGGCTCCCTCATCTCTCAGATCGGGCCTTCGAGTCTACAGGTCAAGCTCGCAACCTCTATGCTCAGCTACGTTCGCGACTCGGATGAACCCACAACACAGATTGCCTCCTTCTGGCTCGCCTTTCAGCTCCTCAAGTCGAGCTACGCCCAATCTGCCGACATGGACGAGCTCTTTGACTTTTCTGCCCTGGGCGAGACCCAGCAGCAAGACGAAGCCTTCCAAGAGCTCTACGACTTTTCCACCTCTGTTCTCGCCTCCCGCTCTGACTCTGTCGAACCCCCCCCCTGGCAACTCGAAGCCCTCGCCCTCGAGGTCACCGCGTATTATGCCACCCGTCTCGAAGAGGACTTTCGCCCCGAGCTCATCGACGTCTTGTATCCTGTCACTACCTTTCTCGGGTCAGAAAAGCCTCAACTCAGGCGGCATGCGATCACTACGTTGAACATTCTCGCCTCTTCGTGCGGGTATGGTTCCGTGTCGGAGTTGATTGTCGACAATGCGGATTACATGCTTGATTCTGTCTCCCTACGCCTCAATACTTTTGACATAAGCCCTGCTTCGACGAGGGTTTTGACGATGATGATTAGGCTGACGGGGCCGAAACTGGTGCCGTTTTTGGAGGATACGGTGCAGGCTGTTTTTGCGGCGCTGGATAATTATCATGGGTATCCTGTTTTTGTCGAGGGGCTGTTTGATGTTTTGGGGGAGGTCGTGACGCAGGGGGTGAAGTCGGATGTGTTGCTTCTTGCGGGTGGTGACAGCGAACCTGCTGTTGATCATAAGAAGAGGGGTTATCGACCTCAGGGGGTGGAGGGGATTCTGGAAACGGTGGGGAAGCATCTTGCGAGAGTGGAGGGGTCGAAATCGATGGCTGAGGAGCCGTTTCGGCCTGTCCCGAGAAAGGCCTGGGGTCCGGGGAGGGAGAAGAGGAAGGAGAAGTCGTTTGTTGAGGAGCTGGAAGCTGCTGAGGATGATGATGATGATGATGATGATGATGAAGAAAAGAAGGAGATGGAGCAAGAGAAAGAAGCTGTCCAGACGCCGACGTATCAGTTGCTGACTAGGATACTGACGCTGACGCAGCACTATCTTACCTCTCCTACTCCTACCCTGAGGAAATCACTCCTGGATCTTATTACAACCGTTACACCTGCCTTGTCCCCGTCGGAGGATGCATTCTTACCGCTTGTGAACGTGATCTGGCCGGTTTTGACCACGAGGTTGCATGATCCGGAGCCCTTTGTTGCGATAGCGGCTGCTAAGGCGTTGGGGGGGCTGTGTAAAGGGGCGGGTGACTTTTTGGGGACGAGGTTGAGGAGTGTGTGGGGAGAAAAGGGGCAGGGGTTGAGGGCTTGGATGATCAAGGTTAAGGCGGAGGCTATGGGTCAGAAGAAGGGGACGAGTAACAAGGGAAGGGGGTTGATTGGTGGTGTTGGTGGTGGTGGTGGTGGTGGTGGGAATAGAAGTGAGGGGGGAGGGATTATGATTCCTACTTCTACGGCTTCTACGGGTTTGTTGTCATCCTCGATTGGAACAGGGGGACTGCTCAACCTTGATTTTGGCAGTGGGCCAACTACATCTCCTGATAATGGGGGGATGAAGATGGTTTCCTCGTCGTCGTATACCACACCTTCAGGGGGCGGGAGGTTTTCACAATCTACGCGGCTTTGGGAGGCGGCGGTTGGGTTGGTGAGGGATGTTGTTTCCTATGTCAAGGTGGAGGATGAGATGTTTGATGAGATTTTGGAGTTGGTGGTTGATGTCTTGCCTGGGCAGAAGGAATTAAAGGACGCGATGGAGACGGTGAATGGGGATGCGGTTTGGTTGGGGTTGTATGAGAGGGGGTTGCTGAGGGGGTTGGAGGTTAAGCAGCCGGTGATGGAGGGGTTTGGGTTTGTGAGGGTGGAGGTTGGGGGAAGGTAGAGAGGTGTAGTTGAAGTTGTGACAGCTTTGAGGGCATCTCTACGAATAGGTACAAGTGACGGTCTTTCTTCACAAGAGTGTCATTCCCCAGAGTCGAGTCTGGTTGTTGCACATGGCCTTACATCCGGGAACGTGGAGAAATCCCGGCGTTACGGGCGCCGGCCACCTGTCGTCACTTCTAACGGTGACCATGTGAATCGGACTGGTGTTAACACCGAGATGGGGCAGGTTGATCAGGTATGATGTCAATGGCTCGATCGTATTTCTTGGGTCGTGGGGTGGTGGCATCTGGACTTGTTCCATTGTATCATGAAGAAAGGAGGTGCCCCATACATAGCGCGGGTGACGAGATAAGCTGGTGTCTTCACAAGTCGGGAGGAATATGTTGGCTGGAACTCCCGGGGGAAGCTGGGGACCACGACACAAGTCCCTTCACAACAGCCACAAGCTTTTCTCGCATTCTCGCATGGTGTTGCTTGATTCTGGGTGGTGCTTTCTCTTCTCTTCCAGGTTCTCAGAGATGTTTGCGTACGTCCGATTCTCCTATCACTTAGTTGCCGTTCGAATCATCACTCTGGGATATGCTTATCAAAGACTAGATTGACTTAACCGGTTGAGCAAACGCTTGGTTCATGATCCAACACTTGAAAAGGAAGACGGAGAACGAACTGCCAAAGACCGTTTCTGGTTCAGTGAGACGTGGTAACCTGACCGTCAAGAAGTAGCCAGCTCGACACCTCAAAGACCGACGCTTTGGTTTGGTTCCATCGATCGGCAGGAAGGGTCCTGTCAAGATGGAATGGCATTCGAACTGGCAACCCTGGCGGGGGAACAGCGGAGACCTAGGGTCCTGTCAGGATGGTGTCATTGCATCGTCCAAACCTTATGTCCATATCCGACCCACAGAACACTCGACCGGCACCTTTGCCCTGATAACAGAGATCTACTCGGTCCCTCCGATA